GAGTATATATATATATATATATATATATATATATATATATATATATATATATATATATATATATATATATATATATATATATATATATTCCACTGTGATAAAATTGTCTCTCTTCTTAAAAATCGCAAATTTCTGTTGACAAACTGATGACGATGATGATGATTATGATGATACCCTCGTCGGTTTATTTTTAAATACAAATTATACAAATATTTTCTATATATAAATATAGATAGCCCTTAAAATAATTTGTAAATTAAATTTTTTTTTTTTTTTTTGTATAAGATGTGTAGGTGTACAACTCCTTCCATGTATACACTCTCCTAAACCCATTGAAGGAATAACTTCCTACAAATTTTTACAAGTAACATACAAGTAACACTTTTTTTTTTTCAATTATGTTTAAATCCTCTTCGGCCTGTTCTCCTCCTTCCTCCTCCTCCTCGTCTTGACAAAAATGTTTCTTAAATGAAACAAAAGCCTACACGTGCGCGTATGGGGGTAAATATTCGGGGAGGGAGGTCCCGGCGCAAATAAGCACGAAAGTCCTTTTAATGTGATCTGTTTGTTTTGAAGGATTATTACGGTTGTAAGGATATAAAAACCTAGTGAACGTGAATTTGGTCACGGGATCGAAATATGAAAAATGGATTTTGCTAGTAGGTAGGTAGGTAGGTAGGTGTGTAAAGGTTAAAAAAAATGGATGTATGGCTTTAGAATGTGACTTTTTATAAAAGCGATAACTAAGACGACCCCATATACAAAGAGCTCCAGAACTTCTTACCTTTGCATATTCACTCTCATCTTTCCTTTATATAAAAAAAAGTTTTCTTCTTCGTCATGCAACTACTTACAATTATTTTCAAAATATCACTTTTTTTTTTTTTTTTTTCTCTCTCCCTCTCTTTCTCTCTCTCTATGCAAGTCTAGCAACGATTACTAATGTGTGTTGCTTTTAACTTTTTTGCGCAGATTATTACCAGTAGCTGTTGATGAGATGGCACATACGTATGTTCACGTGTGCAAGTATCCACCATGTGTGTAATTTAAATTTCGGACAAATCCATCATTTTAAAAAATTTTAGATGCTTAGAGACAACTCTTTATAACGAGATGGTAAAAAAAAAAAAAAAAAAAAAAAAAAAAAAAAAATACGACGATGAACGACGATGAGGACCTCTCCCTCCCCCTTTTGTACATAAGGTTTGAAGATTAAAGATGTCTTCGAAAACGAGTTTTGTAAAAATATTTTTTTTTTTTTTTGTATTAAATTAAAAATTGCTGAAAGAAGCCATGCTAGCCTTGCAATCAATCTTAGTCCTTTTTACGTCACTATAGGTGAGGTTAAACGTAGAGGCAAACTCTAAAAACTTTCCCACTGATTCAAAACCCAATTTTTCTGCCACAAAAATGACTGGTAAAGATTGTCGATATCTAATAACAAAATAAATAATACATTAAATAAAATTTTTCTCTCTTTTTTTTTTTTTAAATAATTGATATTTAAAAAAAATTTCATCAAGTTTTTTTTTTTTTTTTTTTTTTTTTTTTTGGGAAACAAACCCCTATCGGGGGGTATTTTAAATATTTCAATTTTTTTAATATAAAAAAAAATATTTAAACTTGAATTTGTCAATATTATGTGTTTGTTTACTTCTAAGTACCCCAAAGCATCCCCCCCCCCCAAAAAAAAAAAAAAACTCATGTTTCAATTTTTTTGATACTGAAACAAAATGCATTAGCCTCACCGCAGTGAACCCAGACTCATTTTTTTTTTTTTTTTTTCCTATTTGATATGCTAAATAAACTGAAATTAAGGTCCTGAAATTATTTAAATATTAATAATAATAATAAATCCGTGTAGGATTCCTTGAAGAAAAATTTCTCCTACCTAGTAAAAAAAAAGTTATTAAAAAAAAAAAAAAGAAAAAAAAAAACAAAAGCATTTAAATGTGCTTTTGTAAAATATTAAATCATTTTCGAATTCTATATATATATAAATCGTTTCGTTTCCTCTAGTAAAATTTTCAATACATACGCTTTGATCATTGTTTTTAAAGCTGATTTTCTTTCTCTTTCTATAAACCAATCTATTAGGTATGATGACATTTTGGGAGAACGTTGATACAACCAAAAAAACCTGTGATAATTATTCATGCACCAAGCGTGTGACACTTGCAATGCATGTTTAACACATTCATCTTCTTTTTCTTCTTTACTGAGGGAGCCAATGCTAATGGTTAAATCTGCACGATAAAAAATTTAAATTTTTTTTTTTAAATTTTATTCAAACTCGAATTGAATTAAATGATTAAAATTCATTGTTAAATTATTATTATTATTATTATTCATTTACCTAGAGTATTTTTTGTGTAAATATAATATAATATTCTATAGGCAACAAATTCAAATTTATTTTCACCACCCAAATCCGTGTAAAGCATTCGAAGTTGAGTTTGGCATTGATTGAATTCTTCCGGATCACCTTTTTCAAGACAAATTCTCGCATGAGTTTCGTAAACTTTTACCGTGAAATCATTACGAATTCCTTGTACCTGAAAAATTTAGGTTTTTGTAAATTTTAACTCAAAGTCGCAAAACGTTAGAAAGTAATAAAATTTTACTTACGGTAAGATCTTGACGTATTGATTTTAATTGCTCGCACGTGTATCTATAATCTGCATTTTCTATCCATTTGCTTTTTATTAATAATAATGATTTTTCTAATATATCGTTGGGTCGTACTTGAGATGCATCCGGAGCCTAATTTACAAAAAAAGAAAAAAAATTTCGAATTTTAAACATGTAACACTAATAGTAAACGTGTAAAATAATTTAAACTTTGTCGTGATAGAGAACATTACCGACGTTAGACGAAGAAAAGGTTTTTCTAAATCTTGGCAAGTTCCTACAATGTGTAAATCATTAAATTCGAAATCTCCTTCTGTATCCTCATAGGCTATTGTGTTTACAGAAGAAGCAATGATCACAGGTTTTTTAATGCTTTTGGGTCCTTCTAGCATTTCTTTGAAACGAGCTGCACGTTGTTGTAGTCTCTCGGTGCTTGCACTCTCTGCTTCTCCGAAAGTAATATTGGAATAAAAGGCTCCTTGCCTAAACATTATTTACAAAAATTTTGTTAGACTTTTAAAAATAAGTTTTATGCAATTCCGTAAATATCTTTAAAATAAAAAATTTAAATTTTATCGACAATTAAAAATTAATTTCTTAGTAATTTTAACCTTTTCTGCTTCTTTTTTGACTTTCTGGTATTTTTTTTATCTGGTTTTGGTTTCAAATAAATTTTAGTGTTTTCATTGCTTGAATCCGAATCAGAATTTTTTCGCCTTCTTCTTGAAACCGGTGAAGTGGATTTAGAATGAGACCTTGATCTGGATGGGGATTTCGATCTGGATCTGGATCTAGATGTAGAGTTTGACCTTGATTTCGATTTGGATTTCGACCTGAAAGTTCTGAAATTAAACATTTTTTTTAAACTATAATAATTTAATTTAAATTTATTTATTTTAATGATTAATATTATGGTTTTATGTATACAAAAATAAATAAAACACATAATTTGAATTTCGTACTTAATGGTTGGAGATTTTGACAATGATCGCTTATGTGGGGTTCTGTAATTTCTATTCTTTCCTAGTCGATTTCTAATTGATTCAATATATTTATTTCTTCCTCTAAAATTTAAGTTATTTACATTATTTGTCATATGAGGTGGTTGATTTGTATCAACTGCTTTACCTCTTAAACTGAAATAAAAAAACATGAATGTAGAAATATCAAGTGCTAATTTTGTAAAAAAATATATATTAATAAAAATATTTTTACTTTGGAAGAGGTTCTGCATCCCAATTTTTTGTAAATAAGGTATTTGAACTCATTGCAGAAGTAATTTTTCCTTTTAATATAATGCCAACTTGATCTTTGTCAATACTAGATTCACATTTTAAATAACACCTTTTAATATATTCTCTGAAATAAATGTCATAAAAAAAAAAAAAATTAACTAAAAATTATATTTAATAAATTATGTATAACTATACAAATTCTTACAATAAACTTGGAGGCCAATCATCATGTGAGGACTGTTGATTTTGCATTATTTGAGAGGGGCTTTTAATTTCTTTTTCTACAGTTGTATTTAATTTATCAACATTATCTTGTTCCATTGCTGTATCAATAGCTACATTTTTAGGCTTATTCGGGGGTAAGGGAGGTGCTAATGAATTTTGTGCATTATTTCCTATATTGTATAATTTATTATAATTTAATGGCATATTTTGTTGATTATAAATATTACCAAAAGGGTTTGCAGTTTGATTTTTATTTTTATTCCTTTTTTTCTTATTCGTTAAATTAAAAGGAGTAAAAGTTTTGTTGGATTGATTCAGATTAAATTTTATCGGTTGCGAATTGGAATTGAAAAATGGAGGGTTTAAATTTGAATTGTTGGTGGTTGGAAGGGGAGGAAAGGCTTTATTTGATGGTGGGGGGCCATCGGGAAGAGGAATTTTATCAGGGTTTTCCAATGACTTTAAACTATCATTATTACTTACAGATTTCTTGTCTGCATTAATGTCAGGAAGAGGGGGGTTATCAACACTCATTGACATTTCTGATGTAGGAGCATTTATTTTATTAGTATTAACTTTACCATTGCAATTATCAGTGACAGTAGAAGGATTATTATTAAAATTCATTTGAGACTGAAAACCAAAATTTGGAACATTCATTGATTGAAATGGAATAGGGGGATGGGGCATCATATTATTAGGTGGAGTCATATTCATAGAATAATGACCCCAATGAGGCCAATACGCATAGGGTCTCTGCTGAACGAAAGGGTTTTGAATGTTTGGCCACTGTTGAGGCCAATGACTGGTTCCAACATTTTGAGTAGGAGGCGGTTGACTTTGAGGTAATTTATCATTCATTTTTTTAAATAAGCAAGTTCACTAAAACTAATATTTAACTAAGTATTGAAAATTAAAAATTATCACTATAAAAATCGCCTAAAGCACCCCAAAACATGTCCTTCAAATAAGGATTCCTATTTTTTTTACTAAAAATATTTTGCTGAAAAATTTTCACTGTAACAAAACTCAGAATAAATAAAAAAAATAATTTAATATTTAATATTAAGCAAAATAACTTATTTATATTTATTAAATCGATTTCCCACTTTTAATAAAGAATACACTTCAATATATATTTACTACAAAACTAGTACGCTTTCACACACCATTTCAAAAAATATTCAACAAATTTTTTCGGGGCCTTATTTATAAATTGTGTACAAAGTCAAATAAATAAGTATTGTAAACTGCATATCTAAGCATTATGAAGAGCTTGTTTTAGGGACAAGAGCCTTTACTTATAAGGTTTTTTCAATTCTAAAAAATTTATAACAATATTAACTTATAATTTCAAAAACTAAATAAATTATTAAAAGAAAATTTCAAATTTAGAATTCATTTTTTTTTTCTGATTAAAAAAAAAAAAACTTAAAATTTAGCTTTATAAATTTATTTATTACTCCAATCTAATTAAGATTTTTAACAACTAATCCAAAATTAATTTTTTAGTCACTCACAAATATTCAATAATTATAAAGAAATTTAAATTGATAAAAAAAGGAAGAAAAAACTATTAAAATTATTTAATAGAAGTTATGTAAAAAAAAAAAAAATTAATATTATTTTACCAAATTTTAAAATTAAATAAAAAAATTTTTTTTTAAATTTCTTAAAATCAAAAAACCTATACTTTTTTTGCACAATATGAGAAAAATTATAAAATGTAAACTCATTACAATGTTCATTGTAAACTTATTACAATATTCAGTGTATTGTTAACATTATTTACTTTAATAACTTACAAATTAGAATAATAATGAAATTCTGATTTAAATTTAATATAGTGGCGCCTTTTAATCTATGTAAAAAAACAAGACATTATTTTCTAATACCACGGTATGTTATCCGTTATGTATTACAGTATGTTCTCTTTTATATAGTTTTTATAAATTTTAATGTCTTAAGTTAAAAAGTTATTTTTTGGTAACACTAAAAATGGCTGGCAGTGCTGGTCATATAATGAACCTTGCTAATAGTATTATAGGAGTTGGATTATTGGCCATGCCATTTTGTTTTAAACAAGTAGGTGTAAGAATAACTTTTGACGTTTCAAAATTTGTTAATTCAAGAGTTTTATACATCTTAAAATTCATAATTTTGTTGCAGTGTGGAATAACTTTGGCGATTATAATGTTATTTTTAAGCAGTGCAATTTCTAGAACGGCATGCCGTTTTCTTGTTAGGTCTTCAGCTATGTGCAGAAAAAGAAACATTGAATATTTGGCATTTTACACATTTGGATCTTCTGGGAAACTATTAGTGGAATTAGGCATTATCGGTTTTATGATGGGAACATGTGTAGCTTTTTTTGTTGTCATGGGAGATTTGGGTCCTGCAATTATTTCTAAAATGTTTCATCTTAATAATAATAGTACTTTAAGGACAAGTGTCCTCTTAGGTAAATTTTTTTTTTTTTATAATAAATGATATTCACTTTTATAAATCTTCTTACCGAATAAGTATATCTTGTTGGCTGCTATAATATAATAATTAAATTTTTCAGGTATAGGCTTTTTTGTTATTCTTCCTCTAGGTTTATTAAGAAATATAGAAAGTTTGGTTACAATTTCAACAGCTACCATAGGATTTTATTTCCTTTTTATACTAAAAATTTTTATAGAATCATCTCATCATCTATTAGCAGGAGATTGGTGGAATTATGTGTATTTTTGGAAACCGGAGGGTGTTCTCCAGTGCATACCTATATTTGCCATGTCACTATCTTGTCAAACGTAAACTTTTAATTCTTTTAATATGAATATTGAAAAATTAATGTCATTAATTGAGTTGAGAAAATTTTTTTTTTCAGACAATTGTTTGAGATATATGACTCTTTGCCTTCTCCAAGTGTTGAAAAAATGAATTATGTTGTTAAAGCTGCTCTTAATCTTTGCACAGCAGTTTATGCTAGTGTTGGAATATTGGGATACATTGCATACTGCAAAGGAACTTTTACCGGAAATATTCTACTAAGTTTTACACCATCACTTTCGAGTGAATTATTTAAATTAGGATTTGTTATGAGTATAGCTGTCAGTTTTCCTTTAGTTATATTTCCTTGCAGAGCAAGTTTATACTCTTTAATTTTTAAAAGAGTAAGTTTTTACCGAATTTTACCAAGTCTTTCTTTTTTAAAACAATTTGTGTAAGTTTGGTTAATTTTAGTCTTTGAAAATTTAGTGTTTTCAAGTAATTTGGATAGTTAATAATTAGTACTTCCTTATAACTTATTTATATTATCAGCAGAAAAAATATTTATATATTTTTATTTGTTTGAATATTGTAAGGAATTGAAAATACTAATTCAAATTTGACATATTTCACAGATTTCAATTCATCATGAATCAGGTCAAACTAGTTCACATATTCCAGATTCAAGATTTAAATGGTTAACCATAGTTATAGTGACAGTGTCATTAATTACTGGTTTACTGATTCCTAGCATAGAATTAGTTTTAGGATTTGTAGGGTCGACAATAGGTATTGCCATTTGTGTTATTTTTCCATCCTTATCATTCCTAAATTTGAATACTAGGGATACCAATGATCAAATGATAGCCAAGGTAATGTAATTTAACTTTCAATTTTTATATTTTTTTTAATTATAATTTTTGCCATTTTAGTTATGCATTATGAATAGTACATTAATTATATTTAAATTTCTATAGTTTTAATTTTTTAATTTAGTTTATTTGTTTTAAAGTTTACAGTTGTTATGGGTGTAATAATTATGATTGTGGGAACGTTTGGAAATTTGTTTGCAGCCATTGAAAGTCCACCGGTAAATTTGGAAAATAAACCGATTAAATTCGACAATTTACCGCAGCCAAAAATTTTTTCTAAAAATGAAATGAGCATCGATGGTTTGAAAAAAATTTCGAAAGAAGCGAACGTTATGTTACCAAAAAGTAAGACGACATTATTTGATTATCAAAGAGTTATTAAACAATTTATCCTTTCTATTTTATTATATTTTTAGTCGAAGACTTTGAGAAGTTAAAGTTAAGAGATCAGGATACAATAATAGATATTAGTAAAATACAACAAAAAGAAAGTCAAAGAAAAGAACCGCCCGTGCCTGTAGCTCCTATGCCTGAAATAAAAGAAAATCGCAAAGCTGTGATACCACCGGTAAAAATTATTAAAATAAACGATGATATTGATAATAGTAAAAAATTTTCATCGGAAATAAAAAAGATTGAAAATTTTCCGAAGGAAAAATTGAATGAAAATATAAATAGGGATGCAATTGAAAAAGAAAACAGGGAAATGATGGAAATGGAAAAAGAAAAACGAGCGGAGGATGATAAAAAAGAACGGGATATATTGAAAAAATTAAAAGAACACGAAGATGAACAGAAAAAATTATTAATTGAACAAAAGAAAATTTTGTACGAAATGAAAAAACAAAAAAAATTGAACGATATTATTAAACAAAAGTCTATTTTAATTACTCCCGAATCAATCGTCAAAACTATACAACTTGATAAGTCAAAAGAGAAAAAATTACTTTACGAGAAAAAAATTTTAAACGATGTTAATTTTAAGGGATTATTAGAAAAGACTGATAAAAAACAAAATGAAACTTTCCTCTTTCAAAATGATAAATTCAAATTAAAACCGCAGAATGATTTGCAGCCATCAATAAATGAAAAAAATATTATTGAAAATAGTAAAAAAATAAATCTTTCGATCGTTCAACCGTTGGAAAATTTAAATAAAAAAATAATCGGGGATATGAAAAAAGAAAATATATCTAAATCTAAGAAAGAGGATGATGACAATCGCGTTGTTGAATCTCTGGCTCGAGACAAAAGAAGTTTACCAATTGAGGAAAGTACTACGAAAAAGGAAAATGTCGAAGAATGTTCTAAAGAAGACAACGACAGGTATAACAAAACAGAAAATACATCTATCAAAAAAGATTTTGAAAACGGGATTAAAAATGATGATAATGAGGGAAAAAATTCGAAAATTTCATTGGACGTCATTAAAAAATCCGAACATTTGAGTGATGTGAACGTTTTAACGGATAAAAAATCAGAAATTTCAAATGTACTAGAAAATGTTAAATTGACGGATAGTCTTCAGGTAGGGGGAAAGAAAAGAGATTTGAAATCAATAAAAGATTCGATCGATAATTAAAAATAAAAAATAGGTTATTGCGCGAATTCAATCAGCATAAAAATTTTTCCCTAAATGCAAAAAAAAATAAATTTCTAGTCTTTTAAAGAACTCATTTTTTTTTTTTTTTTTATTAAAAAAATAATAATAATGATAAGTGGGGAGGTGTAAATTTTTTTATAATTCCACCGAAGAATCATATATATATATATATATTTTTAATTAGAAAAAACCAAAAAAAAAAAAAAATTTTTTTTATTTTTTTAAAGCATTTTATAAAATTTTTGGCTCGGTATAAATGAATGACATAAATAAAGAAACAAAAAATAATAATAATAATAATAATATTTTGTTATAAATTTTTAACTAGTATATATATGAATATACTCTTGGATAGCATTTAAAACATTTGTACCTGACTGATTCATAATTAAATGTTTAAAAAAAAAAAAAAAACCAATTATTAATTTAAATAGTAGGAGGAGGAGGAGGAGGAGGGCTGTGGAGAAAAGGGATTATTAAATAAATCACATATTAAAAATGATAATAAAACATATTTGACTAGTCTCTTATTAATTTTATTTTTATTATATTATTTTATTTTAATTCATTATAATTACGGTTTTTCATTCATTATGGGGTAAATAAAAAATGATATGGTGAGGGATGTAGAATTAGTTTTATTTGTTTAAATATTATTATTATTATTTAAATAAAAAATAATTACTCGGAAAAAAAGCATTTATTTTATATAATTAATTTATTATTATTTTTTATTTATATTATGCATTTTTTTCTACGGTTAAAATAAAATTGATATTAAAATTCTGCAATTAAAAAATAAAAGTTATTTTTAAATGTTGTTGTTGTGTATTATTATAAATGGGATTTTATTTTTTCATAACAAAAAAAATAAGGGTTTTTTTGTAAATTTATGAAATTTGTTCCTGATAAAAAAAAAAAAAAAAAAATTTTATACGGTTTAAATTAAATTTTAAGTTAAAAAAATTTTAGCAATGTATTAATTTTTTTTTTTTTTTTTTTTTTTTTTTATGATTTCCTGTTACCCCGTTACAAGACAAAACAAACGAAATTGTTTTTTTTTATTTTTTCAAAAAATTTACGTTTTTTAATATGTTTCAAGAGTATTTTATCATTGTTATTATTATTATTTTTTATTTAAATTATAGAATAGGTTTAATTATTTAAAATTCAAAAAAAAAAAATAATTACAAATTCTTTTATAAACTTTATTAAAAAATAAAAGAAAATTTT